AGTTAAATTGTTCAGTCACTACTGCTAGGCAGTCAGCTTGGAATTGGCATGCGTCAGTAGATGTGGAAGGCAGAATGGAACACGGGAAACGCCAATGCACTTCGACGAGGCCAGATTTGCAGTTAGCTCCAAGTGGGGTCGAGGATAATGTCCCAACAGAGAGGTAATTGGAGTACGCAATAATGGATTGACAGTGTACAGGGTACCAAGGTTAGCTACATCTGCATGTACAAACGAAATGCATCACAGTTGTACCCTGGCATTGAGCGCGAAGCAAAAGCAGGTTCAACAGCACCATCCAAAAATTGTGAGTTTATTGGCTGGTTGACTGACCAGGGTTATAAGCGGTGCACACAAAACCCGAAACTGCACTTTTACACTAGATTACGCATATCACCCTTCTTACCCATGCACACAGCAGTGATTTGTACACAATCGGTAAGTTTAAAACACAAAATGCAGCTGGGTGTGTCAAGATAGGGTCACCAAATTCTGCAATGTTTCGTGGGGGGTGGGACTCTCGGAGGAGGTCGATGGTGGCGGTGCACACTGGCACTGGAGCCTTCAAACTGGAGGTGCGCATCCGAGAGGCAAAGGCGGGGGTGGGGTGATTGGAGCATTTTCATGGACACTCAGGGATTCTGGAGAGCTGAGGCTTGAGTTCAGGCCACGCATTCACTATGGCAGTGAAGCCGTTGAGCGCATTGCAGCACAGTGTAAGAAAGGCCGTTTTCTCGGTGTCACGGTGTCGTCGGCGCTGCAAACACCACGTTCTCAGCTATCTTATCCGATATCGAGCGGATCACGCACACGAAGTGAGCGACCACGCCAGTGGCTCATGTTCAGCGACGGCGAGCACGACAGATACTCATAACACCCTGAATGGTGAAGAAGGGTAGAAGTTCAATTTTCTGCCGAAAAAGCGTGCAGACCGAGGTGACGATATAGACATGAAGTTCGACAAGTATCACATCCACCCAAACCTCCAACACGGCCGTGGAACGCATCAGGTTGTGAGTTTGAGTCCCGATGAATTCAAGATGCATCCTAACATTTCATGACCAAAGTGGAAAGTTTTATTTCGCATTTGGACCATATTGATATCGAAGACTTGTGCTAGATTGGCAGGTGTGATTTGTTCTCTGATAGTCTTCCCGGAGGTAACAGACGCTGGAAAACGGCGAGTGAGGGCCGTGCTGTTTGTGAACAAAACTCGAGCGTCTAAGTACAGATGTACAATCGAGAACGAGTGTTTGATTTGCTTGTGCTGAGATAGCAACCTCAACTAGATTGACCCCCTGTGCTTGCACGCAGAAAGACGTTGAATTCGTGAATATATTACTCCGCATTGAGCGAAAAGCGAGGAGGCGTGAATGCTCTGTTAGCTATTTGCCAATATTGTGCATTAACACTTGTTTGTATCTATTTAGTGAGTTAGCCAGTTAGCATGCATGCACCGAATAAGCAGAGGTGATAAGTACTTGTGGGTGTGCGTACGTGCGGCGTGTTAAACTAACAGGGTTTTGTTTTGATAGCGTTACGCGATCGAATTTCCACTAAATATTAACTTTGATTGTGGCACTGATTAAAGTGGAATTGGAGTTGAACCAAGAAAGAGGCAACATAAAAGACCACATAACCTGACCCCTAACACACGTTGCTAGAACAAATAAAAGCCGCCGTGCGGGCACCACGGGCCATTTCATGCATTGCACTCGACGATTGTGACTCTTTGGCTGTAAGTGGTAAAACTGAAATTGCGACCACGTCCGCAAAAATCGATCAGTTCAAACTTACGTCACCACCGACCAGTGATATCACTATTTGATACAACTCAGTCACTTTTACCGCAATACGTGTGCGACGTCGTCTTCGAGTGCTAAGAACAAATCTGCGAGTCATTTTTATCGTTCAAACATTCGGGAATATTTGGTTTGTCGGTTTTCATTTAGCACTGTCGATCTACGTCCTCGCTTACTTAATCCACGAGTCTGCTGAGGAGACATATCGAGAGCGCCTCGTATTGGTTGGGACATGAGCCATCCACGTGCCAGTGAATATGGCTCACCTTGTGTTGACCAATGAGGTACACACGGGGAGCAGAATGTGCGAAGTTCACTAGTGCTAACCCACAGGTACAAACACGCATACTTATCTTAGCCAGTGAGGGTTTAAATTGTTGTCGTATGTCCGCATTGACTGTCTCTGCCCCACTTAACTTACGGAGCTCTTCCTACGCCAACCAAATTCTCACCCATCGTTGTTGGCAAGACTCTCGAATTTCACATATGAACTCCTAAACTTGGATACAACAGGAGTTTTCGCAGCTCCTTCCATCCTCAAGCCCCAAATCCGTTCAACTGCGGTTATGCCTACAAAGACGTCCCATCCACCACGCATCCACTCCACAGCAAATCGACATTCACCGATCCCAAGATATCCCTGAAAGCTTTGACGAATCGATGGATCTCAGCCTTCCGAAACGCTCCGCTTACAGTCCACAATCGATGATGACCCGCAGGCTGGGCGTCGCTTGGGATGTTAGATGGGATGATTATCAGTTGCTGTGCTCGTGGTTCATGACATCGCACTGCTGACACTCATGCTACTTGTATGGACAGAACTTGATAGAGTGCCAGATCTCACAGTGACACTGATCTGAATGAGGAGGAGTTTCCTTAATGTCGTTCTGTAATTCAGAAAGGGCTGGCCCCTGTTCCGCTGTGACTACTGAGTGGTTGGAGAAACCTTGGTGACTTGCTGATTTGGGAACCACTTTAACTCCCGCATTGGACCATCAGGGAGTGGCGCTGCACTTTGCTCTAATGCTTATACTCGTTGAGAATTTCTTTCAGCGTTACGGATGGATTCTACTAGAGAAGAAGAAGCAATCGCATTCTGGTGTGGACAGACAACACATGTGGTGTAAATAAGGGAGTAGCTTTGGAGGTATTCGAATCGCCGCGTGAATCGTCCCTCTATTTGACAGGAGCAAAGCACACATCACCTTCCCATCGACGTCTCTAAATCGATTACCTGTCGCCTTGGGAATGACCAACTAATTTGTCAACAATAGGCGTATTGCACTAGATCATCATGATTTATGCTAAAATATAGACACTACTAAGATTTTCCAAAAAAACCTGCAAATCAGTTTCACTAAAAATAGATTCTGTCGTTTCCTGACTTGTTTTGTAAGGTGGGGGAGTCGTGTGTGCGTATTATGCACTAAATTGCGATATTTACATCATTAGCTTCGTCTGCATTTTCCAAGTCTACGAACAAATTAGTACGTCAGGCTAAAGGGCATTTTCCTGCTAAAAATAGCGGTCTTTTGCGTCAGCTGATTCACCTCTAATACATTACTGCTTACAGCCACGGTGCCAACTCCTGAACTCAGTCTCAACCGTTTTAAAGACAATACTTTTTGCTCCATCAAGGTTGGTCAGAGATTCGAGGCAACAGTGATTTGTAATTGGGTTGAGCCAATATGCACGAAATTTCAGCCCAGGATGCAGACTGCCCGGTGATAGGCTTAAGCAAATATAAATAGCATACGCGTATATATAATCCTATTGGACTAGGTAAAGTTAATGAAACATGCAGATAAACAATGGACTATACACATGAAGAGGGGGGCATTTCAAGTTGGTCGCGGCATGAGGATGAGTTTGCCGGAGTTGTCACAAGTCATGTTGTACTCGGCAAGGACGGTGCGGCAGCGCTGGGCTATGATGTTGGGCAACACGACCTTTTTGTGAGCGCCAAAGACAAACAGACCAATCAGGAGGAAGACACTCACAACAAAACCAGGGTGGTTAGCGAGTGAGGTGAAGAAGCGAACCTGCGTGCGAGAGAAAAACAGTGTTAGAGAAGTCAGTTGAATCTGCGGAATCCCATGACAAGAAATGCGCCAGTTAACTGCGGAAGTATGGGGTTCTGTGGCTCGTGTCTAGTGAGGAGATCGGGCATAAACGATTTCTGCATAGAATTATTAGCGGTTCGGGTTCCTGTCTTGAGGGTTTCCCTCTTCCTCATTCCACAAGCTCAACCATTCAAGTAAAATTTTAACATTGTGTTTAAATCTAAAACGCCTGTCGATGCACATCTAATCATTTTGAAGGGCGCCAGTTCTAGTGAGGTGCTTTTGTTATGCATGCGTCAAAACCTACTCCCGCCATAAGCAAATTCATAAAAGGTCTAACAACACTTCATTCCACCAATTGATCATCAATTAACTTCAAATGATGTCTACCTCTAGGAGGGAACTGATTGCGAAAGCCATCGTGCCTGTTTTTCAAGTCAAAAACTGCGTGTTAGGAGAGCCAGTTGAATCTGTGGAAGCTCAAAAAATAGGCACCACTGGGACGGAAATGAGTCAGTTAACTACGGAAATATAGCATAGACGAATATTGCGCAGATGTGACCCGATAATACCCTTAACTCAAATGCTCACAGGCAGTTTGGATGTTTCCAAAAACAGACAAATGAAGGGGGAATTATCGACCCTTCCATTGGCATTGAGGGAGTTCCAGAAATATTAAAATGCCCCGATTCCCCAAGACTTCATGACACCTTTAAGCCTCAGCTAAATGGAGACCATAGTTGAGCTGATTTGAAATGTCTATAACGACACAGATGGAGGGGATTACAACAAGACACCTAGTCTCAAAAATTAGAGGCTCTAAAAAGCGTGCTGGCAGCTAAAATACACACAGCAACTCATCAGCGCACATCGCCATTGAGGGAGATAGTCAGAAACATTTGCCATTATGTTTCAAAGGAGGAAACTCCAACTGATTCTGTTAAAAAGTGCAACAAGCGAGCTGGACAACTTATCATGGTATCAATGAGATTATTATCCTCGACCTGGTAGGTAAGGGGGTCGGTGAGCCAAAGATAGGTGGTGAGCAGACAGAAGGCTGTAGCCGAGAAGAGCAAAATTCGCCAGAGTTTCGCCTTTGGATGGAGCCCGGTGACAATCTCACGGAGGCGTCGCTCGAAGGCTTTCAGATCCTCCGTAGGTTCTGGTGGTGGGGGTGATGGCCCAAGCGATTGCTAGCGAAAAAGGAACGGTTAACAGCATCTGACGGTTATGAATCTTTTAACAATCGCCGGTTCGATAGGCGGTTGGCAGGTGGAGTTGAGAAGAGAGGCCGACTAGAATCACGCTGCACACTTTGTTGCTTTTAAACAAAAACAACCACATGAAATCGATTCCCACCTATTTTATAATTTTAATATCTGGCGAACACATAATGTAAATGAGACTCAAAACAATAGGCCAGAACGTAAGAAAAATGACAGCAAATCGGCAAGGAAATTTTCTGGATTAGTCCGCAAGAAATCTCGAATAAACCGAGTACCATTAACAAGATATATGCACTAAAAGTCTCACCAAACAGCTAAGGAGACAGGCAACACATTATGAGAAGATTTATTTTAGTAAGTTCAGGAGCTATAAGAAAAATTAGTCAATAAAAAGCTTTATTAACCCCCTAAGAAAACTAAACACTGTGTACTCTGCTAATCCAAAGATAGGCTTGCCATCTAGTGTTAACTTTCACTGCAGGAACGAGAAAAGAGGAAATAAAGAATAAAATAAAAAATTATGATTTACAGAATTACAGGACACATTTCCATAAAACAAGAAAAACTGTTAAAAAAATAAAAAATTATACTCCAAGTGCAAAGAGAAGAAAGAACATGGGATGCCAAGGAGAAGCTGCTCACTCACAGAGTTGTAGAAGTGCAACATCTACGGAGGATACTGAACACTTAGGTTAAGATCGACGGTTGGCCTAACGTTATCAAGTCACCACCAATGAGATGATGGCTGTTCGCCATCGGTAATTGGTTAAATTGAGTAGCAAAATAATAGAAATTTTAGGAATCAAAGAGAAAACGAGAACCCATTATAGTTGCCAGCGTTGCGGTAAGTAACCACGATAATAAGACTTAAAAGTATTTTGAAGGCAGCAACTTAGTTCATCAAAAAATGTATATAATAAAGTCCAATTAAGTCGAATATTGTATTATAAAACCCGAAAGTTGGGTGCTTTGATTAAATGCTCCCAATTTTAACGCTTGTGTGCTACTAATAATCCTATGTTGTTTGTTAAATTGGCATGATACCACTAAAAAACGTGATTACAATTTGAGAATTTTGGAGAATACTTTTGAAGCCTGAAATTAATTCTTGACGCGCAAAATAATCAAATTTTTCTTTGCGTGAAAACGCATCCGAAGTCCGAGATGAAATTAAAAAACCAAACTGCTAAAGCTTGAATCGGCAATTGTTGTCATGTTAATTAGAACTTTCCGAGGCACAGGATATAATAGCGTTTCTTACAATCTAGGTTAAATTCCGATCCCAGTGGAACCTTCTGACATTCCGAAGACAGGTAATTCAACGCCATTTGGTTTATTTGAGTTTATGCGAATGCAATTTGGCTTAGGAAAAGTAGCTCAAACATTTAAGAGTTTAATCCACTGCGTATTTTTTCGTTTGGCTTTCATATTTTCGTGTATCGATGATGTTCTTGTTGACAGTGGGGATCAAGAGAATCATCCAAAACACAGAGATATTGTCATGCAATGCCTTAGCAATAAAGATTTATTTACTAATTTATCGAAATGTATTTTTGGAGTTCCAATGCTTAAATTCCTAGGAAATACAGTCTCTGCTGCAGGTTTAATTTCTACCGATCTTATGGTGAAGGGGATTCGAGAATTCTCATATCCTAAGTTCATCATTCAACTTGGACGTTACTTGGATATGATTGATTTTCTCCACCTTTTCTCTGTAATGCAGTAATGATTTTCCTGCTTCTGGCCAATCAACTCAAAGGTCTCACAGCTGAAAAGGAGTCTTTGGCAAGACAGCCACATTTGTATTTCAATGATCAGATGCCTTTGTTTCTCCAAATCGATGCGCCCGTTGTGGCGGTGGACGCAGTCTCACAACAAGCTGTCAATATGGCATATTTTCAGCCAAGTTTGATGAAGCTCAAAAGCCTTACAGCCTCTTTGGATTCAAACTTCTGCCTACTTACCGTTGTGATAAACAGTTTACATATTTTCTCGAGGGTCGACCAATAACGACCTTCACAGACCACAAAAACTGACTTTCGCCAACCGATGTAGTTTCGATCGACTATCGCCAGGAAAATTATAGAGTTTTCAACCGACATTCGCCATATAAAGGGTGAGGAAAATACTGTAGCCCATGCAATCTCTGTATCATTCACGAATTCTGCAAACCCATGTACGCACCTGGATTTCGAGAAAATGATGAGCTCTCAACAACCCGATCAAGAATTGTAGGTGATCCGAATACAGAAGCCTGTTTTACAAATCGATGATATCCCTCTACATACATTCACATTACCATGGTCTGCGACATTTTAACCGATGCGCAACGCCTCTCAATCGACGTGCTGCTAATCGTTTCGAGCTTCTACGTTTCGCTTATCCTGGTCAGCAGGTGTCAAGTAAGCTGATTTCAAATCGGCCAACCATGAATCGTGACATTCAAAAATGAAATCGAAATTGCGTAAGGTGCCAAGAATCCAGAATAGGCAAGCCCAACAATACACACCTTTCAGAATTAACGTTCCTCACAATGTTTCCGCTACCTTTTGACTTGCGTTGACTGTTTTATCCGATGGCAGGATTCATTTGCAATGCAAGACATTTACATTAAAACCATTGCTAAGAATTCGTTAACAGACATATTTCCTGATTCGTAATCCCCTCCTCCATCACCTCAGACCAAGGAATGCAATTATATTCAAGCTTGTTCCGAAATTTTGTATGGATTGTAGGGTTAAAATTCATTCGTACAGCACCCAACCGCCTTCATCCAAATAGAAAGGTAAACAGTTTTCACCAATAAATGAAGGCCAATTTGGCAGCTCATAGTGACCCATCTCGTTAGGCGGACGCGTTGTCCCTCGTGCATCTCGGGCTTCGATCAGCCGTATGGAAAGACATGAATTGTTCATCGGCAGCAATGGGTTTTGAAACGACGTTGAAGCTACCAGGAAAATCTTCCTCCTAAATATCTCGGCCATACTATTAAAACCTCATAATTTCTTCTAGCATTTTCGAGAAGTACTGAGCAGCCCATATTCAACTCAACCTCGTTCATCGTCCACTTTTTCTTACATTCCAAAATCATTGTGCATGTTTAGACAGGTCCATCGCCCTGACTAGTACCACACTAGAACAAAAATATAATTGCTTTAATCATTTGGACAGGCATTTTAGAGGAGGCTCATCGATTCCTTTCAAGAAGGGTAAGAGCTGTAGCAAGCGTGAGCGAACATGAAAATGCGCTTCATGGAGCTATGTTGGTTCATAGATCGATATTAATCTATATATCCACACCACTGCCGCATAAAAAACCCTTCATACTACGTGTTTTCATTGTTTCGTTTCTTTCTTCACATTCCTTCTCTTAGTTCTTCGCGTAATATCCGGCCGCATGAGTATAAACGTGTTTAGTGTTATCCCATCTAATAAAAAAATAAGGAGGGTGTTACAAGCAAATAGTAAGCCTCTGAAAACTTATTTACACGTTCCTTCAGAGTAGATATCAGAGTCTGGTGTCAGTGTCAACCCGCGTCCACTCCATCAAACCCACTATCAGTCCAACATCAGTGATGGCAACGTTATTTCCTTTGGTATTCCCTTCATCCCGATTCTTCACTTTCACAACCGTGAAACCCGATGTCCACCGACGTTTCAACAATCCGAAGAAATGGACGAATGTCCCATCCATCCGATTGACCTCAGCCTCCCGAAACGCCACACCAACGATTGCCGGTTGTGGAAGCCCTATGAGTCTTGAATTGTGTTTGTTTTCTCCTTTTGTCACCTGCCCCATCCCATTATTTTGATTTTGCATTTGTACACTGCTTTTTATATTGAGGGTTTTGTGTAGATGAATAAGAGATCCATTGTTAAAATGACCCACCTCATATTTTAAATAACTCAGCAACCATTTTATTAACTAAGTCGTTAGTTTTGAATTAGAACCACTTTTGAGGAGTAGACATTATTTCAGGGACGATATTTAGAGGTTTTTTGTTAAAAAATTACACAAGCTAAAACTGAATAATCAATTTCGTATTAATTTACTCGCGTAAAACATTGCCCCCATAAAATCTAAGCGCATAGTTTATCCGACAGCTAAAATTAGATGCCGCCTTTTAAAACACGATTAAAGTTATAGTTATGTTTGTCATTATTTCCACTCAGTGATCTCATTTGTCGGTTTTTATCTTCGCAAGTGTTGATTAATCGCTGCGTTACTGCGCCAACTTTTCCACTTTACCATTCGACAGATTGCGAACTTTGTTAGGAAGCAATTTTGCTATGATGCAGAAAATTAAGGAACTGTATGTTTCTCTAAGATATTTCATAACTTTATAATTTGTTTAAATATTTCAATCAAGCTCTCATTTTTTTTGCGCCGGCACTTACTTCTCCCTCTTCTCGTGTTTCGTACGGTTGGCTTCTCTGGTGGGTTTTTAGTAACTGTATACCTTTTACTCCGAGGTGAAGTGACCATTCTGTTTTGTGATGCTGATGTCCAATCTAACTAACATAGTAACGCATAATGCTCCGCTTTAGTTTAATTTCAACCACAAAAACATGGTCTTCATTATTCAATTTCAAGCTCACTGTCATATTTTGCTCCTATTTACATAGTATTATGATTGAGTGTCAGGGATCGACCTGTGTGTGGATTCGATTAAATGGAAAACCTTAATATTCTCTTCTCGTCCACATTTTGCAGCGCGCTTTTTGTCAACTCTATGTATACGACTAGAATCAACTTTGTGTTGGTAAATCAAACACGTTGCCTGTGTATCTTATGTAATGACGTTCTCCGCGTTTGCAGATATGGACTCGAAAATCGTTCTCCTGCAGGATGCTGCTACTCGGCTGCGTATCAATAGCATCAAAGCTACTGATGCCTCAAAGTCGGGCCATCCGACGTCATGCGCCTCCATTGCCGAGGTGATGGCTGTTCTCTTCCTTGATGAAATGAAGTACTTTGTCAAGGACCCTCGCCATCCTTCGAACGATCGCTTTGTGCTTTCAAAAGGTCACGCTGCTCCTGTGCTCTATGCTGCATGGGCTGAGGTAGGATTCCTCTCCGAGAGCGATCTTCTCAACCTGCGCAAAATCGACTCAGATCTTGAGGGTCATCCCACTCCTGTATGTTAAACACATTTGTTGAAGCCTATCAGTCCTCTCGGATTTCGTTACGGATTCCATCACTACCTGTTATAGCGCCTCGAGTTCGTTGATGTTGCTACGGGCTCACTCGGTCAAGGTTTGAGCAACGCAGCCGGTATGGCGTACACGGGTAAGAACATTGACAAAGCCAGTTACCGCGTCTACTGTATAATCGGTGACGGTGAGTCTGCAGAGGGCAACATCTGGGAGGCAATGGCTTTTGCTTCGTACTACAAACTTGATAACCTCGTGGCGATTTTTGATGTCAATCGTCTCGGCCAGAGTCAGCCTACTACTCTCCAGCACGATCTCGAGACCTACAAGCATCGGGCTGAGGCCTTTGGGTAGGACATCTTCTTTTGCAGTGTTTACTTGAAATCCACGGAAATTCGTGCACGTAAAAGTTAGTTGGCACTGAGGCAAATGCTTGAGTAA